GGCCCCACTGAGCCTGGACACTGCCAGTGGTGTCACTTGACACTTTGGCACAGAGTGAGTCTCATCACCTTGCTGAATTACAGTGTCCATCTGCCTGATGCTCCCTAGATACAAGGGAGCAGGAGCCTTAAGCTGTTTCTTTGTCTTTCCATATGAAGGAGAGATCATTTTCTTTTCTAGGTCACATAACAGATCAGTGACACAGCAGGGTCAGTAAAGGGAAAAAACAAATACTAAAAAAAAAAAGAAAAGCCCAGGCTCCAATCCCTAGAAACAGATGCAGCTTGTCTCAGCCTGTCCTCGGACTCAGCGCAGCTTTGAGGTGCAGGGATTTCTCACACCCCTCCTCAACACTTCTCAGGGAGAGGCAGCATCCCCAGGATGACCAGCTGGGATATCACGAGGCTTCCCATGGTGTGGCTCCTTGAACCTGAGAGCCAACCCTTCAATGACCACCACCCCACTCCTGCCCCAGGAGACCTTCTGCTGGGTCTGGGCTGTGGGAGAGACCTCAGACCCTCAGCACAACTGAGGGTTTGCAGTTCAGGGCTGCTGCCATGTACTCAAAAGCATCTATCTTTTGGGAGCCAGGACTTGATGTTCTGGGGGAGAGCAACCACTGAGCTTTGGGGAAGTGAAGGGGATATTCATGTCAACATCCTCACCGTTTTAGAACCCCCTGCCAGCACAAACCATCCAACACAGGAGCCCCAGCTCCTCACCAGAGCTGCTGCAGGGGCAGCCACAGCCCAACCCTAACACCCAAAGCATCTTCCAGGGCCCAACAGGAGCACGGAGCAAACAGCAAGATTAAGTCTATTAAGGGAGGCATGTGGTGTAATCCCCGGGCACATCTGCCTGGCTCAGCCCAGGGACGCCTGGGAGGGGCTCCCCTTGGTCCAAGCAGATGCTGGCAGTGACTCCTGTCACAGCTCCTGGCTCAGACAGCCTCTGCCCCTCCAGGCTAAGGTCATCCCCTCCCCCCATTTCACAGGGCAGACCTCTACAGGACTTGGGAGTCAACAAGGGTTTCACAAGGGGGTGACTCCATGGTAAAACAGCCCCTGAGCATGGCCAGGGGGGGCTGCAGGCACCGCTGACTGCCCTGACCCTCTTCAGATGCCTCAGCTGCCATTACGGATGAGGACCAGACAGGGAGCAAAGGGGACAGACAGGAGGGAGCAAAGGGTGCCACAGACAGGGCTTGGAAGTACTGAATGCAGCCCCCTTGTACCCCCTGTACAAATCACTGCAGTCCCCTGCACTGCCCAGGGCTTGGGCTGGACCACAGCCCCCTGGCCTCCCCCAGAACCTCCTCCTCCTCCATGTGCCCTCCCATGGCCACCCCAACCCAAACAGCAACGCCAAAGGTGAAAATCCAAGGACTGAAAGAGCCACGGCCTCAGCTTCCCTCCTGTGGCAACTTCACCAGCCCACCCCCAGCCCACCCACTGCAGGAGGACCGAGGGACCAGCACCAACACTTAATTCTTTCAGAGACAACCAAAACACAAAGCATTTAACATTTAAGGTGGTAAGACTGAGTCGCTTACCAGTCCAGGATGGAGGGAGCAGCCAGAGCAGGGACTTGGGGCACTAAAGCCACCACAGACCACGTGGATGATAAAGACAGTGGTGAAGGAGGACCATCAGCCACCCTCCTCCCAAATGTTATATATCAATTACTTAACCACCAAGTGAGGGATCCCAATCAGCACCCACTAATCACCCAGACAGAGCAGCCCTGCTTCTTGTGATTGCTGATGAAGCAGATTCTGCTGATGGAGCACTGCCCCTGTCCTCTCCCCTCCACCTCAGCCTCTGGGGGCCAGCAGGATCCTCCCACTGGCACTGCACAGGCTCCAGGATCCAGCAGCTCCTGTATCAGGGGTGCTAAGGAGCTCACAAGGCCCCTCACACATGAGCTACACTTTTGTTTTGTGAGGTCTGTTTGTATTTAATTATCAAATTGCAAAGTATTTACATCAACGTTAGAGTTTCAAAGCATCTCCACCCCCCCCACCACCCACAAAGCTGGACCTTTTCAGGTTTTTTTCCCCAAAGTTTTGTTATTATCCAAAAAAAAAAAAAAAAAAAAAAAAAAAAAAAAAAAAAAAAAAAAAAAAAAAAAAAAAAAAAAAAAAAAAAAAAAAAAAAAAAAAAAAAAAAAAAAAAAAAAAAAAAAAAAAAAAGACCCAAACAAACAAAAAAAAGCTAAATATTTTACTTAGACACCAAAAAAAGGCAGGTGAGGGGAGCTGGGGAGAGACACAGATCCACATGTTCTCTGCATAGTAGGTTGGAGATCTTACAAAAGACTGTGTAAAAAAATTATAACAGCAGAGGAGAATGACTTGTAGGATTTGATGGAGCCCAGGAAGCCAAAAAGCATCCTCAGGTGGGGACTCCCCTCTGGAGTTTATTGGCTTAAAAAATAAACTGCCAGCCAAGACTGGGGATGGAAGGGAGGCTCTGAATGCCCGGGGCCTCCGGGCCGTGCCGGCTGCGGTGGTGAGTCCTGTTCCCCCCAGAACCCCTGCACAGAACCACGATGGACACACAGCCCTGGGCAGGAGGGCTCCTCTGGCATTGCCTTACTGCCTTCTGCCCTGAAATGTCCCCAGCACGTCTCCTCCTTCCCCAGATCCATGGGGAATTAAGGCAGCCCGAGGCTGGAGCTGTGGGGTGAGGCCATTCCCGCCCCCGGCACCCACACCAGACCCTGCACGTGCCACACACCTGAGCTCGTGTGCCTGCCTTCTCTCTCCCCAGCTCCCACACCTGATCTGGCCTCCACACCTTGCAAGTGTCGGAGGCTCCTCCCAGGGATGGGGATTTTGTGGAATTCAGAGCTGTGGCAGAGGACACCCCTGGGAAGGGCTGCCAGGGGACACGTGGCAGCCACCCATCCCAAAGGGCTGCAAACACGGGAAGACCCAGAACATTTGGGGAGACCCTACCCAAACACAGGAATGCAGGCACAGCAAACCTCTGAGGAAGGGAGAGGGGGGAAGAAAAGGCTCCAACTTTCAAAATGATTTAAAAACAAATCCAATAATGCAGTTGCTGTTCTTCAAGCCAGCAGGATATCTCTGTACAGCTGAAGAGCCTGATTTTTAAGGTTTTACTCACTAAAAAAGGAGCCACCAACCAACCAACCAACCAGCCAAGTCCTTGGTTCATAAATAAGTGTGCAGGGAGCTGTGGGAGTGAACAGGAAGCAGTGTTGTGCCCGAACCCTGCTCTGGTGGAGATTTGGCGTAGGGCTTTTAGCCACCCCTTGCCCACACTGGGCTCCCCCCCAGCTTTCCTGGGACACTGGTACCATGGCAGGGACTGGTTTGAGGTGGGTTGGGTCTGTGAGGAGGCTGTGCTGGAGGGAAACCCCATCCCACAAGTGATGGGGAGGCACAGAAAGCCCCCCTGCCCGAGGACTGAGAGGTGGGTGAAGCCACTGGCTCCCCTCTCTAGGTCCTTCCCCCCCAGGACTCCTGCCCCACAGCACTCCCCAAGCCCCCATCCCACTGTGGCCCAGGAGAGCATCTGAAGACCCCCCAGGTCTTTTTGAGTGAGTAGGGCTGGTACCTGAGCGGTGAGGGAGAGAAGCTTTGTGAACCACCACAGTGAAGGGTTTCCAGCTGGATACAGCCACAGGAGGGGGGAAACCACCACATGCAATGAAATCTGGGTCTGGGAGGGTGTGGGGACCACTCGAGGGGTATGTACAAGCAGGTGCTGGGTGGAAGAGGGCAGGGACTGGGATTTGCCACGCCGAGTCTGGGAATCAGCCCCACGGGATGTGTGTGGGGCAAAGCTGGGTAGGGAAAGCCACCCACCTCCAAAACACGGCTGAGCGCTCTGGGAGCGAGCAGGGGGCAGATGAGGATGCAGATGTGGCACAGGGCTTCACAGGATTCTTCTCTGGGATGGTGGCATGTGGCTTGGGATGCTGCGTGGGGGCTGCAGCCTGGCAGCTGAGACAGGAGGGGTGGAGGGAAGCCAGCTGAAAATGTACCAGGTGAACACAAGTATCTGTGAAAGACGAGTATTTCCCCCCAAACACTCCCAACACCCTGAACGGCTACAAGGGCCACGCACCCAAGCCCCACAGTGGCACTGGATTTGGTGGCAGGGCCAGCCCAGGGGACTCTGCTGGTGGCAGAACCAGTGGTGGAGGCTGAGGGGCACTTCAAAAGGAGGTGGCTGGAAGACCTGGAGTGTGTGGGGGGAGAAAACACATCAGGGCAGCAGGGCTGGCCACAGGCAGGGCCAGGGCTCTGCCAGCATCCCCTGTGCCACTCCCAGGAGAGCAGAGAAGTGTCCCCTGGGGGAACAGACACAGCTGGAAGATGTGATTGTGTGCCCAGGCGCTCCCATGGGACCGTGTCCATCACCAGAGCCAGGAGCAGTCACATTTCATGGTCCCAGAACCCACTAGCCATTGAGGTCATGGCAAGGCCAGAGGCACCACCAGAGTTCTGCTGCCATCCCACACTGGCACCACCACTGGAGCATCACCCCCTTTGAACCAGGCAGGGATTGTGCCATCAGGACACTGAGCTTAGCTCAGCTGGTTAGAGCATGGAGCTAATAACACCAAGGTCGTGGGACTGATCTCCATGTGGGCCATTCACTTAAGAGCTGGACTCGATGATCCCTGTGGGTCCCTTCCAGCTCAGCATTCTGTGATTCTGATTCTGTGGTGAAATGTCTCTGCCAGCATCCTCAGGAGAACTGGAGCCACGGGGGGGGACAGTGGAGAGGGTGAAGAGGCAGGGACATTTGTGCTGATTTAGAAAGGGGGTGCAGGAGACTGGGGCCATGTGTCTGAGGTGGAGTGATGCTGTCCCCCAATCCCTCCAGGCTCACCCCAGAGCTGTAGGGGGGAAAAAGTCTCCCAGAAGCCAAGTCTCTTGGCAGGAGATGCTCTGCTCGCCCTCCCGAGCCAGCTCCGCCGGCGCCCACAGGCTCCTCTCGCCGCTTGGGGCCACAAGTCTCAATGAGCAATGGGGGCACCCAGCACCTCCCCTGGCTGCATCTGCAGACAATGCCCCGTCCTGCTCCAGGGCTGCTCCAGAGAAACAGCCCCTCGGTGGGGAGGCCAGCCCTCGGTGCCCTGTGGCGAGGACGGCAGCGTCCCTGGTGCCAGGAGGAACTCCGGGTCTATAGGTTCTCGCCGGGCTGGTACTGGGGCTCTGTCGAGGTGAAGTAGTCCTCCAGGAAAGCCTGCAGGTACTCGAAGGTGGGTCGCTCCTCCGGGTCCTTCCGCCAGCACTGGCACATGAGGTCGTGCAGGGACTCTGGGCACTCGGGCGGGCAGGGCATGCGGTACCCTCGCTCCACCTGATCCAGCACCTCCCGGTTCACCATCCCTGTGTGCCAGAGGAGAGATGGCACTGAGCAGAGCCAGGCCAGGTCCTGCACCGTGCCTGTCCCGGGGGACACACCAAGGGGGACATGCTGGGACACGCCTCAGGGGCAACCCCAGTGACACAGAGAGAGAGAGATCCCCCCAGCCCACGGACACTTGTCCCTGTCAGCCTGTCACTTTGCTCAGGGCTAGAGTGGGACAGGGTGGCTGGGACCTTGTGTCCTGGCCAATCTCTGCTCACCCCAGTGGGGAGGATCCAACCTGGGAAGGGGCAGCTCAGCCCCAAACGGCAGGAGAAACTTTGCATTCATTTGTTACTCCACAAGGATGGCTCCGAGGGCCACGGAGTACCAGGAGTAAGCTCTGGGCATGGGCAGCTGGCACTGGGCACTGCAGTAGTGACAGGGCTTGTGCTGGTGGGTGGCAGCCCTCACCTGGGTACGGCACTCTGCCCTTGGTGGTCAGCTCGGTCAAGAGGATGCCAAAGGACCAGACGTCTGACTTGATGGTAAACCTTCCATACAGAGCTGCCTCAGGGGCCGTCCACTTGATGGGGAACTTTGCACCTGGATGGAGAGGGAGTCAGAGCCACATGTCGGCTCCAGACACGACACACACCTCTGGAGACCAGGGACCAGCAGCCACCGCTCTGGTGCCACCTGCCTGGGCGCCTCGGCGGACACGCACCTTGCCGAGCGGTGTACTCGTTGTCCTCGATGAGCCGTGCCAAGCCAAAGTCGGCCACTTTGCACACCAGGTTCTCCCCCACGAGGATGTTGGCTGCCCGCAGGTCCCGGTGCACGTAGTTCATCCTCTCCACGTAGGCCATGCCGGATGCGATCTGTGGGGACCAGCACAGGGGGCACCGAGGCTGACAGGGTGACATGAGCGTCCCCGGGGAGTGCCCGGCGCCACCGAGGGGAACAGCTCTGCAGTGGCACCCAGCCGGGGTGTGGGAACAACCAGCTGCTCAAACAACCCCGGGCAGACATGGGTTTGCCGGCCAGGGAGAGCCAGTGGCAACAGGAATGGGCAAAACAATGCCCAAGACTGCAACCCAGCTCCAGGCTGAGACCCAGTGGGGGGCCACAGCACCCACCCAAACCAGGCTGCACAGCACCCACTGCCTGACCAGTGACAGCCACGACAGCCCAGTGAGGGGCTCAGGCAGCCAGTGCCCTCGGAGGGGGATGCAGGACACCTGGGGATGCATAAACCCACCTGAGCCGCCATATCCACGAGCTGGGGCAGCCGCAGGTACTTGCCCATCTCACCCTTCAGGAAGTCCAGGAGGCTCCCTGCAAGGAAGACCATGGTCAGAGCACTGTGGAGGAGCAGAGCCCCTCGGCTGCACCCCCAGTGTCCCTCCTGTGCTCACCCTTGCTCATGTACTCGGTGACAATGTAAATGGGCTCCTCTGAAACCACGGCGTAGAGCTGAACCAGCTTCTCGTGCCGGAGCTTCTTCATGACCTGGGCTTCCTGTAGGAAGGCCTCTGGGGACATGGTGCCAGGCTTCAGTGTCTTGATGGCCACTCGAGTAGTGCCATTCCAGGTCCCTGTGGCATAGGACACGTGGCTCAGGACACACGTACGGGACAGGGGGCTGTGCCCCTCACCTGCTCCCCCACCCCACTGCAGGCTCTGGGCACCTGCAGATGGCTGGGGACAGGATGCAGCTGGTGACATTGAGGGGACAGCAGGGAGGGAATGCTCCTTACCCATCCACACCTCTCCAAAGCAGCCCTGGCCCAGCTTGACCTCCAGCCGCAGCGATTCCCGGGGGATTTCCCAGGCGTCCTTGGCAAGGCCTTGGGTCTGGGGCTTGGACGTGGGGCAGACGTTGGTGAGACGGTGGCACAAGCCATCAGCGTGTTCTAGCACAGGAGGGGACAACGGCAAGGTGACATTTGGGCTTTCAGGCACGTGATGTCTTTACCCCACATCCTCCCTGCAAACACCTCAGCGACCAGCACCCCAACCCTGCGCCCTAAAACCCAGGCAGCTTTTCACACAAGTGGTTTGGGGTTCCCCAGCCCTGCAGCGAGGGCAGGCACAGCACCCCGGGAGCCACCAGACCCCAAGGGGACCCCACATGGCTACCCACTGGAGTAGTAGGCCACGAGCTGCTGCAGGCTGTTGAACTGGGTGCGGGAGGTGATGTAGAAGCCACCGCTGTCCAGCTTGCGGATCTTGTAGTGCTTCACGTTGAGGCCCTTGGCGTTGTCGAAGTCGGAGACAGAGAGGCAGTAGGCACCTGTGGGCAGGACCCAGGGGCTGGGGGAGATGTGCCACAGACAGGCACTCCCCACGGGGTCCCACGGAGGGTGGGTGTGGAGGAGGCAGGACGGGGCAGGCAGGCTCCCTCTTTCACTCAGAGGATGGGGAGCAGCTCCTGGATGCACCAGTTGGCACCTGGTGCCAGGGAGGGATGGCACGTCCCCCTGGCTACAGCCACAACGTGCAATCACGACCCTCAGCTGCCCCCTGGTTGCACAGCAGCTCTGCCAAGCCTTGCCACCAGCCATCCTATGGGATGTGCTAACTGGGGGCATTGTCCCCCAGCCCCACCTGACCTGTCAGGTCCTTCTCTCCAGCAGGAGATAGGAGCAGATGGGAGACAGGCTGAGGGGAGCTCCTGACCCACCACCCCAACATCTCAGCATCTCAGAGGGCAGCCAAGGGGCTGGTGGGCCCAATTCCCTCCTCCACAAATCCCCCTTTAGGATCTTGGCTCTGCTCTGCCCACACAAGAACAACACAGGCTGCTGGGGCCACAGAGAGCAGAGATGAAGATTTATGCTGCTGCTTGAATGAGCTGCTTCCCCCAGAATAAAATAACCAGTGGTAAGTTCAAGGCATAAAAACAGAGAGGCACATCAAGGGGCTTTTCCCAAAGGTGCATTTGGAGCCAAACTAAACCACATTTTCAGGTAAGAAACAGCATCCTCAGGCAGTCAAACCTCAAAGATCACAACTCACACTTTTGGGAGGTATAAAACAAGCACAAAGAGTCATCAGACTTGAAAGAAGGATTAAAGTTCATCACTCCCTCAGCCTGTCTGCCCAGGAAGCACATGTTCAAGATTTTGCTACTACAGAGGGACCAGGGAAAACACAAAAAAAACATCTACTTGGGGATAAAAAAAAAAAAAAACAGGAAAAAAGAGCATCCTGCCAGGTGGTCCTGCTGAAGATGGAGAGGCTCTCAGCTCCCACTCTGCCATGAGCTGAACCACCTCTCTGAAGGGCACCTGCCAGGCAGGCAGTGGTGGGAGAGAAGTGGCCACGTCCCCCCAGCCTGTGGGCTCGGGGGTGTAATGGTGTGTTCAGCACAGTCACTGGGGATGTGATGGGTGCAGCAGCACTGGCTCCCTGGGGATCAGCACTGGCAGGGGAGATCCCAGGAGGCTGCCCATGCTGAGGGGCATCGCTCAGCAACCCCAAACATCATCTCCTGTCTATGTGGTACGAGTCTTTCCTCCTTCTCCCTCCCCCTGTGCCTAAGCTGGGGAACCTGGATCCCACAGAGTGACCGAGGGGACTCAAGGTACCCCCACACCCTTTAGAGAGGGGTCTCTCCAAGGCCAGCCCCCCCCAAACCTGCTTACCTTTCGTGGTCTCACTCTCCCGGACCAGGAAGGTCCCTCGAGGGTTTTCGGGGTTGAGCAGCAGCCGCTCGGACTCCCGGCGAGTGATCTTCCCAAAATACCACCTGCAGGAGCAAGGCAGCAGCTCAGCACACGGCATCTGCCCACCCCCTCCACTGCCTGCCCAGGCAGGAGCCTCAGCCCCAGCCTCCACACCGCAGGTTTTGGAGACCAAAAGGGTCTGCAGGGCCTGCGTGTCTGGGCTTGGGTGCCTCAGGGTGCACCCTGTCCCCAGACAGCCCCGGCATCACCCAGGGAGCAACCCTGCTCCACAGGCCATGGAACGCCTTCACTCCAAGAGCCTTCCCAAATGGGATCCCTGAAACTCCCCTGCCACAGGGCTTGGAACCCTCCTGCCACACCTTCTACTAGGCCAGGTTGTTCCAAGCCCCATCCAATCTGGCCATGAAGAATTCCAGGGATGGGGCAGCCTGTGGGCAACCTGTGCCAGGGCCTCACCACCTCAGGAGTGAAGAATTTCTTCCAAACACCTAATCTAAATCTCTCCTCTTTTAGCTTAAAACCATTCCCCCTTGTCCTCTCACAGGCCCCTCTGCCCATGGAAAAAGTCACTCTCTCTCTTTTTTAGGAGCCCCCTTTAAGTCCTGGAAGGGTGCAATGGAGCCTTCTCATCTCCAGGCTCTCCAAAAAAAACAGACCAGAAGCATCCACAGCCCCACTGTGCCACTGCTCACCCCTCCACCACCAAGCACGCTGCACCACTGCACTTGTGGGCCTTAGAGGAAGGCTGGAAAACATTTATGGGGTTTGCACACCCAAAGGGGGAAAACAGCAAAGAGGAAAAACCCAGAGGGCTTGGAGGCTTCTCCCAGGAGCAGGGCAGGGGCAGGGAGGAACCCTCGGGGTGCATTTCTATCGCTCTCTTTAAACTGTCTAAAAGATGGCAATTACTCTTCAGCCTGGATGGAGTCTGAGGGCGCGACATAGTTACTGGGGATGTAGCCCGTCTGTCCTGTAGTGAGGGAATGAGCCAGCCACCAGTCACCTTCCCTGCAAGAGAACCAAAACACACTCAGTGTGAAGCCAGGAGCCCACCCCGCCAGCCCCTCGCCCGCCCACAGGCACCGGGGGAGGACGAGCCAGCGCCGAGCCCTGCCGGGAAGGGGAACAGCCCTGCAGCCCCCAGCCCCACAGCCAGCCCCCAGCCCCACAGCCAGCCCCCAGCCCCACAGCCAGCCCCCAGCCAGCCCCACAGCCAGCCCCACAGCCAGCCCCCAGCCAGGAGTGCTCCTGCTGCCAGCCCCTGCCCACGGCTCCGTCTGGGTGAGCTCCTGTTAGTGGGGCCACCCATTTGCACATGGCATGAGCTTTAAACTTCAACTGGGCAGGGCAGCCTGGGAGCCAGAACACCTTCAGAGCCACCTGAATGGGAATGGGGTCTGGCTGGAGGCTGTGAGGCACTGGGGGTCCCAGCAGCAGGACAGTGGGGAGCAGCAGGTGAGGGGAGGGAGGGGAAACAGGGAGAAGCAAAAG